ATGGATTCTCAGTTCTATTTCATTGATTTATATGTTTATCCTTATTGCAGTACTGCACTATCTTGATTACTATAGCTTTGTATTAAGTTTTGAAATTTTGGAGTTTAAGTCATCTAGCTGTGTTCTTATTTTTCAAGATCACTTTGGCTATTCTCAGTCCTTTACATTCCCTCATTACACATTTAGGACCAGCTTATCCATATCTGGAGAAAAAAAAAAGGCAGCTAGGATTTTGAATGGGATTGCAATGAATCTGTAGATCAACTTGGAAGTATTACCATCTTAATAATATTAGTTCTTTCAATCCATGAACCTTGGGTGCCTTTCCATTTATCTAAGACTTCTCTAATTTCTTTCAATGACTTCTGTAGTTTCCAGTATACACAGCCTTGATTTGCTTTTGTTAAATTTAGTCCTAAGTATTTTATTCTTTTTTATGCTAATATAAATAGGATTGATTCCTGTGGTATTATGATTTATATGTGAAATATACATTAGATCCTCATCCCCATTCCTAGCACACAGTTCCTAAACCCTTGTAATTTCCTAAGTTATTAGAGCAATAGTATCATATTTTTTATAACATTTGGATTTTGTCCTCTGTTTCTGAAACAGCTTCAGAGAAATAAAGATGAAATGGGTATCTTATTATTTATAACAAGCCCCTTTCAACCGCACTTGAGTTTAAGTGAATGAGGAGACTTCGAGAAAGCCTCTAAAGATGGGGGCTGGTTTCCAGGGAAACCAACGCTGATTATAGGGTTGGATTTTTCAGTCCCATCTCTCACCCTCTGGGGAGAGGAGAGGAACAGAAGGTTGAATCAATCACCAATGGCCAGTGATTTATTTAATCATGACTATGTACTGAAACCTCTATAAAACTCCCCTAGAATGAGTTTCAGAGAGCCTCCACATTGGTGAATACATGGGAGTACTTAGAGAGTGGCAAGCTTAGGAGGGCATGGAAGCTCTGTGCCCTTTCCTCAAACTTAGCCTTTCGCACCACTTCCACCTGGTTATTCCAGATTTGTATCCTTTCATAATAGGCTGGTGATCTCATAAGTAAAATGTTTTCCTGAGTACTGTGAGCCACTCTAGCAAATTAATCAAACCTGAGGAAGAGGTCATGGAAATCTGCAATCTATAGCCAGTTGGTCAGAAGTACAGGTAAATAATGTGGACTTCCAACTTTGAGGGCAAAGGGAGAGAGGTATAGTTTTGTAGGACTGAATGCCTAACCTATGGGATCTGATGCTATTTCCAAGTATATAGTGTTAGAATTGAGTTAAATTATAGAGCATCTAGCTGGTGTCACAGAATCGTCTGGAGTGCAGAAACCCCCTACATACTCACTTGGTGACCAGAAGTGTCAGAAGTAGTATGGTGCTAGCATGAGAGTAAAGGAGACACGCAGAAGGAGTGTGATTTCCCTTCATACTTCCTTAATTTTATTTTTGGATCATTCGTTGCTATTGTTTAGAAATATAATTTATTTCTATATATTAATCTTGTATCCTACAACTTTGCTGAACTTGTTTCTTAGTTCTAATAATTTGTGGTGGCTTCTTTAGGTTTTTTATGTACAAGTTTATGCCAACTGTAAATAATAATTTCACTTCTTTCTTTTCTATCTGGATGCCTTCTATTTCTTTTTCTTTCTTAATTGCTCTTGCTAGAACCTCTAGTACAATGTTGAATAGAAGTGGCAAGAACGCTTGCCCTGTTCTCAATCTTAGAAGATCAGCATTTCACTATTAAGTATGATGTTTGTTGTGGGTTTTTCCTAGAAACATTTTAATAGGTCGAAGATGCTCCCTTCTGTTCCTACTTTATTGAGTACTGTTATCAAGAAAGCATGTTGGATTTTGTTAAATGAGTTTTCTGCATCTGTTGAGGTAATTATGTAGTTTCTTTCTTTTATTCTATTGATATGGAGTCTTATACTAATTTTTTTATATACTAACTTTTTATATGTTAAACAATTTTTGTATTCTTGAGATAAATCCCCCTTGATCATGTGTATGATACTTTTTATGTGGCTAGTTCAATTTGTTAATACTTTGTTGAGGATTTTTGCATCTATATTAATAAGAGATAATGGTTTTCTTTTCCTGTGATGTCTTTCGTTTTGGTATCAATGTAAGACTAGCCTCATAGAATGAGATGTGAAATATTCTCTTTTTTTTTTCTTCTTTTTTTTTTTAGCGGAGGAGGAAGAGTTTGTGGATGATTTGTGTTTATTTTTCTTTAAAGGTTTGTTAAAATTTACCAGTGAAATCATCTGGGCCTTGGCTTTTTCGTATGGGGAAGTTTTTAAATTAATAATTTAATCTCTTTACTTATAGATCTACTTAGATCATCTGGGTTTTGAGTTTTTTGTTTTTGTTAGTTTCAGTAGTTTGCAACTTTCTAGGAAATTGATAATTTTGTCTTTGTTATCTGATTTTTTGGCATACAATTATTTATAGTATTCCTTAATCCTTTGTATTTCTGTAAGGTTGCTAGTGATGGTCATTCTTTCATTCTTTTTTTAAATAATTTGAGTGTTTTTCTTGCTTAGTCTACCTATAGTCTTGTCAATTTTCTTGATCCGTTCAAAAAGTCAAATTTTGGTTTGATTAATTTTCTCTAACACTTTTCCATTGTCTTTTTCATTAATTTCTACCCTAGTATTTATTATTTCCTTCCGTTTGTTTTGAGTTTAGCTTGTTCTTTTCCTAGTTTGTTAGGATGTAAGTTTAGGTTTTTGATTTGAAATGTTTCCCTTTTTTTAATACAGACACTTACAGCTGTAAATTTCTCTCTAAGCACTGCTTTAGTTGCATTCATAAGTTTTGGTATGTTGTGTTTTAATTTTTTTTTAAGATTTTATTTGTTTGAGAGGAGAGAGAGAGAGAGAGTGATGAGAGAGACAGAGGGAGAGGGGGAGAGAATTTCAACCACATTCCACACTGAGTGCAGAACCCAACACAGGACTCAATCTCATGATCCTGAGATCATGACCTGAACTGGACCAAGAGTCAGATGCTTAACCAACTGCACCACCCAGGTGCCCTGTTACGTTTTCATTTTCACTTACCTCAAAGTATTTTCTAATTTCCTTTGTGATTTCTTTGATCCTTTGGGTATTTAGGAGTCTGTTGTTTAATTTTTGTACACTTATGAATTCCCCAAATATCCTTATGTAGTTGACTTCTAATTTTATTCCGTTGTTATCAGGGAAATACTTTTTATTGTCTTAATCCTTTTAAATAGATCATGGCTTGTTTTATGGCCTAAGACACGGTCTATTCTGAAGAATGTTTCATGTGCACTTGCGAAGCAGGTGTATTCTGCTATTGGTGTTTTAGTGTCTGTTAGACACTAAAATGAATGTTTTATTTTAGAATGGTTTAAATAGAATGTTTTAGTGTCTGTTAGTTCCAGTTGGTTTACACTTTAACTCTTTTATTTCATTGTTGATCTTCTGCCCAGATACTTATACATTATTAACAGTGGTGTATTAAGGCTTCTAATCCTTAAATTGTCAATTTCTCCCTTCAATTTGGTCAGTTTTTGCTTTATGTATTTTGAGTCTCTATTGTTAAGTCGATATATGTTTATAATCATTATGTTTTCCTGATGGATTAATCCCCTTATTATTATAAAATGTACTTATTGCATCTAGTAATAACCAATCTCAAGTCTATTTTGTCTGATAATAATATGGCCACTCCAGCTCTCTTTTGGGCACTGTTTATGTGATATATCTTTTCCCAACCTTTTACTTTCAAGCTATTTATATCTTTGAATGTAAAATATCTTATAGATGGCATATAGTTAGATGGAGGGTTTTTCTCCATTTTTTCAATCTCTGTTTTTCTGTTGTAGATTTAGTCCGTTTACATTTAAGTAGTTACTGATAAGGTAAGATTTAATTTTTCCTTTTGCTACTTTTCCCCCCTGTGTGCCTTATGGATTTTTTTGTTCCTCTATGACTACATTACTGCCTTCTTTTCTAAATATTTTCTAACATAGAACATTCCCTTGCTCTGTCTTTGTATATACATATATCTATATATATATGTGTGTGATGTACATATGTGATGTACATTTATGTGTATTATATATGTATGTGTGCATATATAGATGTATATTTTTTTTTCTTGGTGGTTGGCCAGAAGATAACAAGATCTTAAAACAATCTAGTTTGGATTTACACCTTGCATTTTTGTAGTACATTTTCATTTACATTTTTTCATTTAATTCTAAGAAGGGAGAAAGTAAGAAATCTGGGCTGGAAATCCTTTTCTCTACTTTGACCCTAGAACCTGTTTGGATCAATGTTACTCATGCATCATGCTCCTCTGGGGGCAAATTATAGCCATGTGAGAGAGATCCTTTTCTGATTCCCAGGGTATAGATTTTCAGGGTTATCATAACAACTTTGTATGGACTTTCCAGCTTCCAAAGTGCATTCATATACATCCGTGATTTTCAAAGTGTGGTCTGGGGATCTCTGAATATCCATGACATGCTTGCAGGAAATCCTCAAGGACAAGACTATTTTCATAATAGTACCAAGATGTTATTTGCCCCCTTTTAGCTCTCATTCCACAAGAGTACAGTAAAATTTTCTAGAGGTTACACAGCATGTGGTATCACCACACATTGAATGCAGAAGCGGGTATGAGAAATTAGTGTCTCTGTTAAGTGAGGCATTAAGGAGATTGGCAAAACTGTAAAACAAATCTTTTTCTCTAAGTTGCTTTTGAAAATTTAGTGGTATTTCACAAAATATGTTGTTTATATGAACATAAGTGGTTTATTATTGTTAATTTTAAATGAGTTGTTTTTCTAAATTTCCCAGTTTTATTATATAATGCAGGAAATATTGATATAACATGTTTTAACAAAAGCTTGTTTGCATTTTTGATAAACTTTAAGAGTATAGAGGGGTACTAAAACCAAAAATTTTGAGAGCTGCTGACATTTGTTATCTCATTTGACCCCCACAACAGCACCATATGGAAAGCAGGACAAGTTTACTCACATGCTGCTTTGGCTCCTTGGATGGAGAAACTGGACTGGGTCTAGGACTACACCTGGAAGGACTGGATTTAATAGAAGAGCAGACTATGATTCTGAGACTAAAGCCAAACAATTAACTGGAGTGACACTTTCTGGGAGTGATAAACTCTTGGTGACCATTGACATTGTTGGTCTCTCTTATGTTCTGGATACTCTCTCCACACTGGCTTCCATGACAGTGTTCTTAGTTTTACAAATGGCTCCTCTTCTTCCACCTGCCCCTTAAATATTGCTATTACCCCGTGTCCTATCCTCAACCTTCTTCTGGTCTCCCTCTAGAGGCTCCCTGGATGCGTTCACCCACCATTACATATGATGATTCCCAAATGTGCGTCTTCAGCTCAGATCTGTCTGTTGAATTTCAAAGCTAAGTATTGGTTGTGTCTACCTAGATATCCCTCAGATGTTTTAAAACGACATTCTCAAAACTCTCTAATCACTCGGTGCATTCAATATATTGTAGTAGGCACAGGTAATGTGACAGTGAGCAACACATAGGTCCTCTTCTTAAGGAAAGAACAATCTAGTAGAGATAACCAGTTTGTCCAAAACCAGCTTTTGTATTGTGGAGTCTGGTTTAGAATTACCACCACTGACCCAGTCACCCAAGACTTCCACTTCTTCACCATTCCCTCCATTCAGGGAGTCCCCAAGTCATGTGCATTTTGTTTCTGTAATGTCTCTTCAGCCTTTGACTTTCTCCATCACTACTGCACACCTCCCTCAGAAAGATCTTCTAACTCTTGTGAATGATTGCAATAATCTCATAATCACTCTCTTGACCTCCTGTCTCATCTCCATCTAATTCATACTTCGTATTGCTGCATGAGTTGTCAATTTATAACTTCACATCTGCTTTCCTTACTTCCATGCTAAAACTCTTCAATGATTCCCTCTTCTCTGTAAAATAAAAATCTGCATTCATTAGCCTGCCTTGTAAGGCTCTCAAGGAACTGACCTTTGCTTCATTTCCTCTCGCTTCTTTGAATGTATCCACGATATTTCAAATGGTGTTTCTGATAACAAGAACGCCCTCCTTAATTACCTAGTCATCCTTTATGATCTTTCTAAAGTGTAAGGTTTTGTTTTGTTTTTGTTTTTGTTTGTTTGTTTGTTTTTACCTTTTCAAGGAGTCTTGGTTTTTCTCCCTTTGGTCTTGCACAGATCTGTCTTCATTACAATACTTACCAAAATGTATTATAATTTTTTCTTTCCATAGCTATTTGCCTCTCTGGACAGAACACCTCAATGGCGGAAATTATCTGATTCATCTTGGTATCACAAGTCCTAGCCCAGTACCTGGTATAGAATGGGTACTAAATAAATATTTATTGACTTAATGTTGAAGGTCTATCAAATATGGATCACACTTAAATTTCTTTCTATTTTCTAAATTTAGAATTCCCTTCCCATTTTCCATCCAATCACCCAAGCCAAAACACAGATAACTATTATTAGGGCTCTTCCTTATTCTCTATCTCTAATGAATCACTAGTCCAGCTTATTCTGCTTCTCTAAGCCCTCTCCAGCATGTTAGGTGCCTTTCATCACCACCCTTAGAGAAGTCCTCCATCCATTAAGAATATTGCAACCACATTTTCAACCTCAAAAATTGGGATATAAAATTTTTGTGTCACTTCCAGATATGAGGCATTCTGATAAGCAGAAGTAAGTTCTAAAAGGTTGAAGTTCTCTAAATGTTCCATTGATTTCTAGGGATGGCAGTAGAGAATATTGGAAATCATAATGCCACGAAGAATTTGGGTTGGGTGGTCATTTAGCCTTGGCTGCAAGGTTCATGGGCCTCTGTTTTAAGAGTCTCAGGCCTTAAGCTATCTATCATTCAGGTGACAAAGGACAAATGCACAGACAAGAATAACTAAAAATACAATATTGCAAGTACCAAATAAATGAGTAAGTAATTGAGGAGAGAAATACAGAGGAGATGTGATCTGAGCTGGGCTTTTGAGTCCTTGTAGGTAGAGGTGTGCCAGCTAACACCTAAAACTGCCCATGCAGAAACACTCAACTCCAGCCCCCACTGACGGAAATGGATTCTTGTCTACCAGCCAAGGTTGACTGACCAGAGAAAGTTGATTCAAGGGTGTTTCATCCTTGGGCAGTCTGAGATCTGTGACTTGGACCTACATAAGAAGATGAGCTGTGTCTATCAGATTTCTTTCTGGAATCTGAAATCGGGAAACTAAAATGGGAGATCTGGGAGCATAGACTAGCATGGAAAAATTGGCTTCAAGTGTTACCTTTAGGTCAAGTTGGTGCTGGAGAGTCAAGGGCCCACCAAAGCCAAGTGTAAGTCAGAGTCAGGAAGAAATAGAAACCATGAGTAGACAGAGCCAGTTGGTCTGTAAAGGAGCCAACATTCATTATAAGTGGTAAGAGCAGGAGAAAAAGACCGGGCAACTGAAAAGAGAAACTTGGAGCTGCCAGTCCTCGGATCCACCTCAAAACTTGATGTCTTGCAGCCTCCAGGCTTACAGCCACTCCTAGCCTTCTTTCCTTGGTGAGTGAATGCTGTTCCTTGCAACCTAAGAGCTCAACTGAAACAGATCTGATCAGATGGAGCACAGAGGAAAAGAAGTCCGGGAGCCCAGGCCAGTATAGATGGGTGCTCAGAGACTGAATTTCCCATGGACTACTTAGGGACAGGTAGAAAGGATTTTTTTTTTTCTGTGAAGGTAAAAGTGACGGGAACACCTTAAATTTTAAAAGAAGCCAGATTGGTATTTGGCAAGTGACTGATTGCATGCATGCATGGTTAAGGCCAGAAAGTACACAAGTTTGAATCATAGGATCACAACTGTAGTCTTGATCCCATGGGCAAGGGAACGATGGCAGTTTGCAACAGGAAGAAGATACCATCAGTGTGGAATTTGAAAAATCATGAAGGTCTTGGAAGACATTCCGTTTCCCAACCTTGAAGCATGCTTGGCCCAGCCCCACACAGATGGACTTTGGGTAATATGTGGTTGAAGGAAGCACATGAAAGCAGCCTGTGGTTGTGAAGCAGACCTGCTGATTAGGGTCGCTTCCACTCCAACAGCCTAGAAGCTAGAAAAGACTGACAGAGACCTCCAGCCTGGCGTGCAACCGGGGCAAATGCTGCTGCTCTGACAGATTGGCAAGAGCCTGGGATCAGCAAAGGTCACCTCCATGTGCAAACCCACGCCTGATCAGTTCTAAGTGGGGCCCATCAGGACCAGGACTTCCATGTAGAGCCCAGATGTCAACTGTCCTCTCGTCCTCCGAATGGGGCAGTTACAGCAGTTGTCTGTTTCACACCGCATCCACACCGACACAGCTCTCAGCAACTCTTGAAACGCCTCCCTCCCATTCACATTACAGTAATATTGTCCACTCACATCACAGTAATGCGCCACGGAGCATCTCCTGACAGTTTCTGGAGGGAGTGAAAGTTGCACAACCACGGCAAACCATCTCAGACACACAAACAAACAGCCAGACGTGTCTGTTCTGCAAAGCCTTCCTTTGCTGGACAGCCTGCCAGGGCTTTCTTTTCCAACCCAACCCCCCCCACCTCTGCCCCCATCCAGTCTCCGGGATCCTCTTCCTCCTGCCCAGATTCCTTCTGCTCTGTTATGCAGAGTCATTCTGTGGTGCCCTGACTGCTATCCCTAAATTTGCATACCCAAACCCAAACACAGCTTGGACCAGTAAGCTGATCTATACTGGTTCTAGGACCCACCGTGCCCTCCTTAAGGGGACAACTGAGGTTATTTTTTTAAAAAGATTTTGTTTATTTATTCATGAGAGACACACAGAGAGAGGCAGAGACACAGGTAGAGGGAGATGCAGGTTCCCTGCAGGGAGCCCGATGTGGGACTGGATCCCAGGACCCAGGATCACGTCCTGAGCCAAAGGCAGACACTCAACCGCTGAGCCACCCAGGCATCCCAAGGTTATTTTTTTAAAAAAAGCATTTGGTTGTTGTCCATGAATAGCAATAAGCATACAGTTCAGGCACTGGTGGGTCAGTCTGGGTGAATCCCATCTACCGCCCCGCTCTGTTTGGACTCTCTGGCAAGACAAGCCGCGAGTCAGAGAAGCCAGCTATTTAAGCTCCAGCTTTGGGGGACTGGGGTGGGGATGGGCATGGAAGGGGAAGGCGGGGCGAAGGGGATGGGGTCTGCAGGCAGGTTCCCAGCGGCAGAGGACATGAGGCATGGGGCTGCCCGCAGGGCTGGCTGTCCCTCCAGCAGGCACAATGCAGCCCGAATGCAGAGCAAGGCAAGAAATGACTTTGTCTCCGCAGCCGCCCACGCTCTGACTGCATTAAGACTCTCACTAGGCCCATGATGACTTTTTGATGAAGTGGATGCAGCATCCTGCAGGGGCCAAGGGCCTTGCCTTATGGAAGGGAGGGGCTCTGCAGAAAGCACACCCAGCATTGCAATATGCTCTTCTCCTGTCTGCCCTCTTCCTTAAAGCACGTTTTTCTGGATGGAGTTTTCATTCTTAGCTCTCCTAGCTTCTCATAAGCAGGGAGTGCAGCAAATCCAGGAACAGTGACAGCCCAGTAGCTAGTTTCTGTGGGAACACCTATGGATGTCTACTGTATTGGGCAAAAACAGAACAAAGTCACTTTTATCTCCAGCTTTCCTAAAGCCTTTGTGTGCTGTAGAAGCTGGTTATTGTTGCATTATTAAAGGCCCAGCGAGCAGCGCCAAGGCTCCGATACGCTAGAGCTGTCCCAGGCAGCTTCAGCTAGTTCAGACTTTTATCCTGTGACCCAGCAGGGCTCCTGGTTCCCCTGGCATCCCAGGGAAGGGGGAGCTGGCATGCAGGAGAGGCCAGGCTCTTCTAGAAGGTGCCCTGGGCTTCTCACCAAACTGGTCTGTCCAGTTCCCAGGAATCATTCTGAGCATGATCCATTTTGCCAATATTGTGTTTCCTAAGGCATTAGCAGTGTAAAGTAGGGGGCAAACTGTTGCATAAGGACATATCTAAAACCAGATTTTCCCGGGTTTCAGCCAGCAGCTTGTTCAGGGGAGGCTGAGAGGACCAAGTGTTTGGGTTTCTGTGTGTCTGAGACTGAGGGTTGGTGGTGACTGAGAACTGAGGGTTGGGGTGGGGACAGCCTGGGGCATAGTTTGCTGAGGGTAGGTTTGAACACAGGTTTGATCCAGCTTGTCACAGCGTCCGAGTCACAATACCTGGGAGCTTTGTCAACTGTCCCAACCCCCATTTCACAGAGGAAGAGAGGAAGCCTGAGAAGAAGCCCAAAGAGGCAGGGTGACTCATCCAAGGTCAGTCCCATGAACGGGTGTCCTGCTGAGGTACCCACCACCTAGACGCATGCTGAGCGTGCATGAGCATTCACTCTCCACATTTGCAGCCACACAGGCCCTTTAAGAGGCA